CAGAATTTCCCGTAGGTTGATAAAAGGAAAAAGGATTTTAAATGGAGGATGCATTCGATAGTGTCTGATTAAATCCAATTTTACGAAATCTGATTTATCTAAATTGGATATTTAAACAGGATAATCTGAAATAATTAATAATAATGAGAACTTTATTAAATTAAATTAACTATATTAATCTCCGTATTCTTTTATTCATTCTGTCCGCAGTTTGAAGTTATAGTTTCTGTGAATGCTTTTGTTTTCTTTCTTCAAAAAATATTGTTTGACAAATCGAAAATATGCAGGTATTTTTTCATGATTTATAATAATAATATTATAAATTAGAAAATTTGAAAAAAATTATGATTAACAAATAAAAAATACCCATTTTGTTTGTTATATGCTTTTTTCTAAAACAAATTGCGTTCGAATGATCTAAATTATTTTATTCTCCTTTTTATTTATAAAAAAGTACTAGAAAATTGTTAATTGTTAAAAAATTTTGATTTAGAAGTAGAAAATATACTCATTTTATGCATAAATATTGTTTACAAACTAATTTTTTTCTTTCGTGAAGAAAAACATTAGATATTCCCGTTTTTTAATATTTTTGTAGAAAATTCACAATTTTCATAAAGAAATAATTTGCATAATTTCTATTTCTTAATTTCAATTGTTTTAATAAAATTCCAAGTTTTTTAAAAATAAAGGATAACAATGTTTATAAATTATATTAGTCAATTAGAAAATTTAATTGAAAATGAAACTGAAAATTTTTAAATTATTAGGAAATAAAGGAAAAAATTTTATTGAAAAAAATGTTCTGTTAAATTTATTTTTAAATAATTTAAATTGTAAAATTATTCGAAACAATAATTTCTTTTTTAAATATTTTAAATATTTAATTATTATTATTTCTTCGTAGGAATTGAAATTCTTCAAAACATTCAAATTCAAATCTTTTTAAAATTAATCAACGTTAAATATTGTTGTAAAACATAAAGATAACGATTACTCTGAGTCGAAGACTTCTTTATGTTTTATAATAATTCAAGAGGATCGAGTGTTAAAATCATTATTTTATATTATAAGAATATTGTTACTGCAAGTTCTTAAAAATTATTTTCATATTCTACTATTATTTAAAATTTAAACTAAAAAATTTTCAAATCAATTTTTATTTGAAAATTCTACGAGAATTCAATTATTTAAATACAAAAGTAAATTATTTATTGAATAATTGAATATTTCTTGAAATTTAATTCTTATAAAGAATTTTATTAACAAATTTTTAAATAATTGAATTCTTTTGACGAATTTCCATCAAATTTTTTTTCGAATAGTTACATTTTTCAAGGAATTCGATTAAAATTGTATTAAAAATAATTGAAATTTTGCGATGAGTTTTATTATTTCTGAAAATAATTGAATTATTGTAAACTTATAAAAAAAATTTGTAAATATTTGAATTCCTGTGAAATTTTTATTATTTATGAAAATAATTAAATGTTTGGGTATAATTTTATTAAAACAATGTTTTGTTTGATAAGTTTTGTATTCTGTATAAAAATGCACTAATATCATTCATGTAATTCAAAATATAAAATGACCTACTATTTATTTCGAAAGCTTTTTTCTCACGTCATGTGACAGTAATGTTAAATTAATGTGAATGTACACACCCAGGGAAAAGATATATTTGACTGTGAGCCAACTAAAATATTTATTTCTTTCAAATACATCGTAATTGGCTTAAAATGAAAATTTTATTTGTCCTAAATAAAATTTTTATTTAAAAGAAAGTAAATAAATTTTTTTTAAGTAAATAAAAAATTTAGTTTGTAAAAATAAAATAAAAACTATAAAATGTAAATACCTAAACATTATACTTTTATTTACCATCAATAAATTATATTTGGTTTAAAAAAAAAACATATCTCTGGGTGCAGCTTGAAAAAAAATTCTAAAAATTTGAAAAAAATTCTTTTTTTCTCGTCATCCTTTAGAATTTGATTACTGCAACTAAAATTAACACCAAGTTTAAAATGTATTTTTTGATTTGAATGAATTTTATTATCTTGAAATAATTTTTATTTTATTTGAATTAATGAAGGAATAAATAAAATATTTATTATTTTATTTATTTTTTCAGTAATTTCATTGATTCACTTTTTAAATGTTAAGTAAACTTTCCTTAGATTAAATATATTAAGAAAATTATGATACAAAATAATAATAATAATAATCAGTGAATGATTATCATAAATGTCTGTTAATTAAATTAGTAAAATTTTCAACTACTATATACATTTTTTATTATATTATCTTCTTTTTTAAATGAAACTAATTTATTTGATTAATATCTTTATTCGTTTTGCAATTCTCTTTATGTCGCTTGGTTCTTTTCCAGAACTGTTTAGATTTTTTACCGATATGCCCCATATCATGAGTATAAGAGAGGAACTATAGTTAAGCACATATCGAGATACGAAAGTGCAATAACCATTGCCAAGCACTTTCCATCCAGAAAAAGAGAGAGAAAGAGAGTGAGAGAAAAGCGGGGTTGAAAATTCTCTATTTCTCCTTTTTCATTTTTGCAAACATTGGCTCCAAGTTGTCTGGCTCATTTTTGGAGAACAGAAGTTCATGATTCTCTAATAAAGCTATAAAGCTATAACATTTTCCTTGTTGGTTTGTTTTTTTTTGCAGAAAATTTTATTTTTCAAATGTTCGTAAACACATGGATATAGTATTTTCTTTCGTGAAATTGAATTTCTATATTTCTTTATAGTTTCTAATACGTTTCTGTTATTTGTGCTATATTTCACAATTTTTTCTCTTCGCTTTTGGAATAATTTGAAATTCAAAAATCAAAATATATTTTTAAAAAAATAGTAGTTTTGTCGTTTAATTTCTTTATTTACTTGTGATGAATTCTGCAGATATTAAAATACTATTAATACTATTAATACTATGAAAATAATATTATTCAAATGCCAAAGAAATTTGGAACATAATTCGGAATTTTATCGGAAATCCAATTGTAATTTTTCTCAACGGAAAATATTCAAAATGTCGAAGAAATTTTTTCAAGTTTTGAAAAATTGTCAAAATAAAAAGTAGCATCATTTTTCGATGTAAGTTATTTTCTTTTTTACATCGCCCCAGTAATGTCGAAGAAAAATTGCAAAAAGTTTTTTTTATAGTTGACCAAAGTGGGAGTGTAATTTTTTTTTATTAGAAAAAAGTTTCCCTCAATAGAGGTTTGTCGCGGCGGAATAATGCTCGCAAGAAAAAGGAGACAAAAGAGAAAGGGAACTTTGAAATAACGTAAGTGTAATTTTTCTTTTTCGATCCCCGCCAAAGAAACTTGAGTAGCGCCCGTTATAGTACAAGTATGACAAATTGAAATGGCTATCGACACTGAGAGACGCGTTCATCGAAGAAATTTAACTTAAACCTCATTTTCCTTTTTCACACAGACACAAACACACCGGCACTTTATTTCTATTCACACCCAGTTACATATTATTACTAGCTATATTTACATAAATATATAGGGTTTCACTTTTTCTACCTGATAATTCATTTCCGGTGAATTCGCTTCGAAGTAAAAGGCTGAAATTATTATTATTATTATTATTAAAATGGAAGGAAAAATACGCAAATAGTGGAAATTGTTTTGTCAATATTATGTAAATATTTCGTGGAAATATTAGGAATACTTTTTTAAAATATTTTTTTAGGTCCTAATATTTATAAATATACGTTATTGTTCCAACATTTTTTATGAATGTTTTATTGTTTTTAATATTTTCCAATTATCTTTATAAATAACAAAATCATTTTTGTAAAATAATTTTTTAAATAGATACTTATTGTTATTTATTTGTCCTCAAGAATTGAAATTTAAAAATATTTTCAATGTAAAACCTTTTAAAATTTAATTATTTATAAAAATTCGAACTGTAATTCTTCCAAAATACAATTAATTTAAAAAATTTTAATTATTATTGAAAACTTTTAATTTTTAAGGAAATTGAATTTATTATTTTTTATAGGTTAAATATTATTATACTTTTAAAGCAATTAGAATTTTCAAGATTTCAATTTAAGGGCATTTTAATTATTATAACGTCACAATTTGTGCAAAACATGCGTTTTAAAATTGTGACGTCTTAATGGTTCAAATACCCTTAAAAGATTTTTAAATTTTAATTATTTCTAAAAAAAATTCAACTTTAATGCTTCTAATTATTTTAAAAAATTTATTTCAACTAAAATTTCTTTTAAAATCAATTCCTATCAGAATTTAATTACGAGAATTAAATTTATTGTTTAAATACAAAACAAATAAATATATCCAATTTTTTTTTAAATGGCAATGTACCTTTATTGTGTTTTTGACATTTAATTAATAATTCTATTTTTAACTACTACTTTGTGTTAAATTTTCCGATTTTCTTACTTCACTTACTTTATTATTTAGAAATTAACTGTTAAACTTTTGACATAACCATTCGAACAATAGAACAATGTTAAAGTCAAAAAACACTAATTTCACGTGAGGACAGAATATCTCGATTATATAATAATAATAATAATAAAATTCATAATAATATAATATATTAATAATTCAATATTATTTATAATTAAGAATTCAATACTATTAATTAATAGTTAATAATTGAATCATATTAAAAATAAATAACTAATTGAATAACATTATTAATTAACAATTTAATAATATTAATAATTAAAAATTATATAATAATAATTAATAATTGAATAATATAGAAATTTAATAGAGAAAAGATGTCATATATTTTAAAAATTGATAAATATTGTAAAAAATTATTAATAGTATCAATCAGAAAGTGGTTCGAGATTTTTTCCCCTCTCGTTTGTTGATAAATTGAAGATAGAATAAAAAAATAGTTGATCAGTGAAAAAGGTGGATGGGGATTTTTGAGTAATATTTCTATATATATGAAATGCTGAGAGAATAAAACACTTACGCTGTTCCATTGTGTTTTCCAATCGATACCACTCGGTAGATTTGAAGTTCAACTCGTTGGCCAGTATCTGGTATGAATTTATAGGTGCATCTTGTGGGTCCTTGTAGTGAAGGTGATTTTATTTGTCCAAAGCCACGATCTGATTTGCTGAACAATTGTCTGCTGTCCAAAGTTATATTGCACACTGAAAAGACAGAAAATAATTTTTTTTTTTTACTTTAGATATATATCTCTATATAAAAAGTCGTCACATACTTTTTCACTTTTTCTCTCCTCTCTCAATTTTTTTTTTCGAAAACTCTCGAAACTTTAAAAGCTGACCATTGAAGTTTGCTTTCACATAAATTAATCACTTTTTTCCAACTCTTTTCATAGTTTTTATCAGTTCTTTTCCATCAATTTTCGTAATATTTGATTTTATCTTTGTTTAATTTTCGTTGTAATTAATTATTATTTTGTAACACTGTTTTATTTATTATTTAATTAATTATTTTTGAATTGAACATAATAATTTTGATTCAATACATAATAAGTTTAATTCAGATATTTTTTTGGTTGGTTACTTATTTTTGTATTAAAAAATGTTTTTTCCAGCCTAATAATATAATGAAAGTAATAATAATATTAATAATATAATATTAATAATAATAAAAAATAGTGTAAATAAAGCTGCTAATAATTATTATAATAATAATAATTATCATAATTAATAATAAAATTAAATAAAAGTAGTTAACGAAGATTATGAAACAATTTATTGCTGTTTACCAATTAACTGGTAAACAAATAAATATTGCCGATAAATTGAATATAATTAATGTTAATAATATGTTTATCGAAACTTTTTGTTCTGATTACAGTTTATTTGAAACTATGACAATGCATTAGAATTTGTAACATGGCTCCTAATTAACCTCAAAGCATTCATACTAATTTTACCAGGGGTTCATTTTGATTAAATGAGTTAAATTGAGAAGATAATTACTTCCATTTGTAGCCACTCATTTTAAATCAATTTGTAATTGCAATCAATGTAAATTCGGTAAAATGAATTTTATCCGTGATAACAGAAATTCTCCATTAAACGTATATATATAAAACTATATATTGAATTTCATCATAGTTTACAGTAAAGATGTATCTAAATTTTCCTTCAATATTCAATATAGATACATATATGTAAAAATTGGAAACTCAAAAATATATTTTACCTTTTTTTTATCTAATATTCTCTTCTTCAATGTTTCATTAATTTTCTAGAATTACAAAAAAATTTGTTTGTCGTCAGCGTACTTCTTTAAATTAAAACTAAAAGTGTAAAAAATTTTTGTTAGCTTTATTTCAATCCTTAGTTTAATCAGTTTGAGTATACGCTTCTTTTAATGCACATTTTTAATTAAATAGATTGAATTTTTTAAATTTTTATGTTTTTCAATTTGTTACATATTTCATTTTTTGTTATTAAATATTTCTTAAATTTTGCAGTAATTTAAAGAAATAATATTTAGCTCAAATTGGTTAGCTCAAATTATTCTCAAACATTTTATAATAAAAACTCTTAGAAATAATTTAAAACATTTTAATACAATTTTAATACACAAAATTTTAGTAAAATTTTTTCAAACGATTTAATTATTTTAAACAATTTCTCAATTAAATATTTATTTTATTATTATAAATTTTTATTACAACTTTATTTTTCTGATTTTTATATTTTTTTTGAGGGAAAGTTTTTATTAATTTGCTAAAAAAGTGTTGCTAAATAATGTATTTATGAATTATAAACCTTGAAGTGAAAACAGTTTTTGTTTATTTAAGGGAAATTTTTTTTTTTTTTTTGAGGAGAACTTGAAATGAAATGTGTTTTTGTTTACTTAATAGAAATTTTTTTTTTGATGATAACTTACTGTTGGCACAATGTTGCTCTAAGCCACACTGAGCACATCTGTTTGGTGAAGCTGCACCGCAACTACAACCGCCGGATGGAACGCAGCAAGCACAATCCTTGCTGGACGAATTAAAACTGCACTCACAGCCATTGCTGCTCTTGGTCCACAAGTCAACTTGACCTGAAATTTGAAAAGAAAATTTCCATTAATTCCCCACAAAGAAAAAATTTGAATTGAATTGAATTTAAATTTTTTTAAATTAAATTTTGAGCTTAAATTTTTTCTAATTAAATAGAATTTAAATTTTTTTCAAATAAATTGTATTGAAATTGAATTAAAATTTTCAATTTTAAGACAATTTTTATGTACAACAGCTGAAATATATTTTTCTTAACGTTTAAAATTACCACAAAAAGAGACAAGTTTTTTTTAGAATAAGAGAAATTAATTTTTGTAACATTGAAAAAACATTTTTATAACATTTGAATTTTTGTCCCTCAAAAAAATATCTTTATTTTCATTTTTAAAAAAAAATTTAATTAAGTAAATATCAATTTAAACTGGTTTTATGTATATAAATGGCATTTCTAAATTACTTTTCGATTTGGTGTAAAATTGATAGCAAAGCAGAAGGAAGAAGCGATCTTTCAGGGGACATCTCGATATGTCAATATCCCGAGAGGAAATACGGTATGGGCACTTGGTTCAACGCTAGTAAAAATAAAACCAACTTTATTGTGGTCGTTCACTGTTGGAAATGTATTTTGGGAATACGGCGAGTGGAGAAAAGTGGAGAAAGTGGTTGAGGAGAATGAAAAAAAAGGAGAAAGAAAAAAAGACAAAAAAAAACTTGGGTTATATGGCTGTTCAGGAAGACAAAGTAGAATACTTGCTCGTTGTGTTGTAAGTACGATTAGAGACGAAAAAAAAGAAGAAAGAAAAAAGAAAAAAAAAGGAAAAAAATTTAACGACAGAAAAAGAAAATAGAAAATCGCTAGGCATTTAAGAATTTCCGATTATTGGATTCTTAATTCAATGATTCTATACCTTGATTACGATAGACGACATAGGGTTTTGTGCCACTGTCAGGATATGTTCGGATAAAAGGAGATCAGGTTAAGATGGATCGGGGATAACAGTAAAGTGAAAGAAAGTGGTCATGGAATCCTTGTGAGCACAGGGTTTTATATATATATATATATAATAAGAAAAAGTACCTGACACGTTAAGAATTTTGACAACTTTAAGCTTGCTTTAAGCTGAAAAATAAACGCGAATTTTTATAGAAGAGGAAAATAAATATTTTTTCGTTAAATTACGATACGAAAAATAAATATTTTATTTGACTCTCATTTCGTTTTAAAGTTAGTAAACAAACAGAAAAAAATTGCCTTCTTTTGCAAATAAGACGCGATTTTCTACTAAAGGCGAATATGATTTTTCACTTCAGGTCTATAAGGGTCGTTCTACAATAAGATGACAATTATCTCATTGCAGAACAATGTGTAAATTTTAATTTTTTGACGTTTTCTAAGATTGCTTAGATTGATTGTAGTTCATATTTATTATAACTATTTATTACATTTTTATCTACTTCATTTGTTACAATACAAATTTTTGTATACTAGTCTAGGTAGAATTTGTTTTTACTACTGAAACGTAATACTGCTTCTATTTAGTAACAAATTTGCATTATGTCTGACTATATCTTTGACTTACACTACTTAAAAAACTACTTTATTTGTTAGAATACAAATTTCTGCATAGTAGTCTGACTAGAAATTCTTTTTACTACTTAAAAGTAACACTGCTTCTATTCAGTAACAAATTTGTTAAATTTTTTACCATGTCTGACTATATGCTCGACTTACACTACTTAAAAAGTTACAAATATCATACAGTAACATTTATTTTAATTCAATTTTGTCTAAAGGAATTGGACTATAATTTTTTAAAACTTTTATATTTTAAATATTCTATATAGTAGTCTGCCAAGAATTGGTTTTTACTACTTAAAACTAACACTGTTCCTATTAAGTTGCAAATATACATTATGTCTGACTATACGCTTGACTTAAACTACTTAAAAATCCAGTTTATTTGTTACAATACTTTCTGCATAGTAGTCTGACTACAATAAGTTTTTACTACTTAAAAATAAAACTTTTCCTATTGTATAACAAATTTTACAATGTCTGACCTAATGCTTGACTTATACTACTTGGAAATCCTGTTCATTTGTTACAATACAAATTTTTGCATAGTAGTCTGGCTATGATTTATTTTTAATTCTTAAAAATTCAGTTTCCATTGAAGAACAAATATGTTTCATGTCTGACTATATACTCGACTTACACCACTTAAAAATCCACTTCAATAGTTACAATATAACTTTCAGGATCTTAATCTGACTATAATTAGTTTTTACTACTTAAAAATAACAATGCTTCTATTTCGTTATAAATTTGCATCATGTCTGACTATATGCTCGACTTACACTACTTAAAAAGTTACAAATGTAGTAAAATTTGTTTAAATTCAATTTTGTCTAAAGGAATTGGACTATAATTTATTAAAACTTTTATAGTTTAAAAATATTTTGTTTAATAAAAGTTTACAATTTTTTAAGGATAAGAGTTTTATAAAAACTGTTAAATATATTTTTCATACTTTTTTTCTGTATATTTTTGTACATAATATGTAGGTTTATAGGATAAATCAGAAAAATTTTTTTCTAGAAAATAGAAAAATATTTTTTTTATTTTGTTAAAAACTTTTCCTATAATAAAAATGAACAAAAAAAATTATACTGATCTAGAGAGGAAAATAAATAAAAAATTTAGGTCTTATTTCGTAAGTGAAAAAGTGAATGTAACCTCAGAATTTAAGTCAATAAGGGTCATTCTGCAATAAGATGACAATTATCTCATTGCAGAAGGTTTTGTAAATTTTAATTATTCACCTTTTGCTAAAAAACATCAAAATTCTTTTGGTAAATATTTTAAAAAAATTCTTTTTTTACAATCAAATTACAAATCTTTATATTTTTCTATTGTAAAATAATGATTGATTGTAGTTCATGTTTATTATAATTATTTATTTTATTTATTTGAAATTTTTATCTAAATTTCCAAGATTTATATTCACAGGCAAAAAAAAATTTTTTTCTACAATAACTTGACTAATAATCTTATATTTGGTGTATTTTAACGAAAATTTCCCCGGCTTCATTGATAGTTTTTTTTCTAGTAGGATTTAGAGCGTGTAATATATATTTTTTTTATCATTTTATCTGGAATTCGATATCTGTGTATAAAGGTTTATACATCAGGGAAGTACAGGACATGTTGTTGAGTTTTTCTCGTGAGCATACAAGCACATCTTTCAATTCAAGTGCTTTCGATGCAGTGGCTTATCAGAGGGAGAGAGCGAGAGAGAGAGAGAGAGAGGGATATGTCTGTATAAAGTAAAAAAAAAATATTTTTTTTTTATTTTAACTTTTTTTTACACTAAAAACTCGTACTCTGTGTATATGAATGTAAAACAGTGAAATAATAGTTGATTGAGATTTTCAAAGGTCATTTCATTGTCCATGTCCACCTGTTTCCAGAGTGAAACTATTGACTACGTCACTCGTTATGCGAATGTAATTTGGATGTTCGTTCGGTCCATATCCGTTCACATGATTCGATTTCATGTAAACTTGCTGCATGTGCGGCATATTGCGAAAATGTATGGGCGGCACTTGCCGCCAATGTCATCAACTCCATTTCACGTTTCACTAACTTGACAGCAATTTTTGAATTTTTTACTACTATTTTTTTTTGTTTCTGTAGGGTAGTAATATTACCAACACGATATAAAAAATGTAACAATATTTTTATTTTCTCTGTAAATATTTTTTTTATTGACTTTTTATTCATGAAACATTTATTATTTATTTATTTTATTCCATATCACCTAATTGATTTTTATGTAAAAAATATTGTAGAAAAACGAGAAAATAAAAAGTAAGAAAAAAATAGTTACGTACAGAAATTAAATTTATAAAATATGAAAAAAAAATTTCGTAAATTTGTTAAATATGTAATTAAAAAATTGTATTTAGTATGAACAATTAATGATTTTATATTAAATAATCATAAACTGTTTTTAAATTAACATTTTTTTTTGGTTTCAGTGTGAAGAACCAGTGTTCGGTGTAATAGTTGCAGAGTAAAGGTCAGTTTTTGCAATTATTCTAATCGTACAATAATAATATTCATATTATAAATTTTTATTATTATATTCTTTCTATATACTTACAAATTCTCATGTGAAATAATTTTTATTACCTATATTCAATTGGTAATTTTAAAACAATTTTCTGTATATTATTTTTCTTGGAAATTTTCGATTAACTTTAAACGATTTCCCCTTGGCTTAGTTGTGTTTATTTCGCGGTCAGTGATTTTCAATTTGATTGATATTCAAACATTGACCGTGAAGAGGTATAATAATGGTTTGTTCTGGAGAAACGTGTTGTGTATGCCTTGGGTCTAAGGGTCCCGACATATCGAACACATTTCCATGCATTTGCACTTTAATTGGCTTTTCATCTAAACAATTCACCTACTGAATTCTAAGGCTTTTACTCTCTCTCTCTCACTTCTTCATTCCATAAATATTTATATCATATATATATATATACATCAAAGTTTGGCTTTTACATTTTAATTAGAATTTATCGTTGTTTGTTATAACATTAAATAATATCGTTCTGAATTTTAACGTTGTTTATCTTTTTTTAATATTTACAATAACACTGCTCCTATTAAATAACAAATTTTTATCGTGTCTGACCATATGCTTGACTTAAACTACTTAAATATTCAGTTCTTTCGTTACAATACGAATTTCTGCATAGTTGTCTGACTAGAATTGGTTTTTACTACTTAAAAATTCACTGCTGCTATTGAAGAACAAATATGTTTCATGTCTGACTATATTCTTGACTTACACTACTTAAAAACTATTTCAGTTGTATTAATACCAGTGTCTTTATAATAGTCTGACTAAATTTGGTTTTTACTACTTAAAACTAACACTGTTCCTATTAAATTACAAATTTATTTTATGTCTGACTATATGTTTGACGTATACTACTTAAAAATCCAGTTCATTTGTTACAATACATATTT